ACTGGAATGAGGGGATGTGTCAATCACTCCCTACTGTCCACCACCACGGTGGAAGGTATCTGGGGATATTCAGAGCAGGATGCGATGAGCTTCTGGCAAAGAGAAGTGGACCTCCCAGCACTGTCTTTTCCAGAAAAGGCACAATCCTTAACCCTATGACCTCTGCTGGGTCTCTGCAATGCCAGAATCCATCATCAATGTGGTCAGCTCCTTCCTGAGCACCAGCTGCAGCACCCAAGTCCCTGCCTCCACAGAGCCACTGGTGCAACTGCCCAGGAACTGTTTTGGAACAGAGATGACCAAGGCATTATCCAGGCCAGGGTGCTCCAGTGGTTTCCCACTGCCCATACTCAAAGCCCATCAACAACTGCCTGGCAACCTCTCCAGACTTTTCTTCCACTGAGCACCTGTCACCCACCTCATTCTGGACACCATCTCAGCCAGGGCTGCACTGCCGCTGGGGAGTCCTTCCTGACCTCTTATCTTGGCAGGCAGGCCTCTCCTCTGTCCTGTTACAGGGTAGGGGTTTACCTGTCAGTCTCTCTGGTAGGTTGGCTGCTCCTCTGGGCAGACCATGGTTCACTCAGTTCTAGCCTAGAGCCAAGCCGCATACCTTGCACATTAAAGGTGGTTGATGACTGTCACTAAGCACAGTCCCTTCTACTTCTGGGATTCCACTTCCACATTATTTATTTATTTGTCTTTTTCCGTGTCCGGCAACGGATCGCAACCCTCAGTGTCGCCCCCACACCGGACCGGGACCGGCAACGGGACCGCAACCCTCAGTGTTGCTCCCGCGCCTCGCTCAGCCAGTGAGTGGGAACCGGTCTGTATGTGGGATCCGAACCCTCGGGCGGGAGCGCCGCCGCGCTTCCCAAGCTGCGCACTATCCAGTGCGCCACCAGACCGGCCCGCACTTCCACATTATAATTAAGAAGTCTGGACTAGCTTGGGGATGGCAAACAAGTAGGATATGTACTACCACTGATGTGCTCATGGTCATGGGAGACATTGTCAATCAGTATCTGCTGAGCCTGGACACAGCTTCAGAATCATTCTCAACACAGTGTTCTGAGCAGCCCCCCATTAATCAATCAGAGCCGGCATTTGAATAGAAAGTTATTTGCTACTTTTGAGAGAAGATAGCTATGGTTTCTCTATCTCTCTCCACTATCTCCCTCCTTTTCTCTTATTCTCTATTCCTTCTCCTTCTAGAAAATCAGACATGTATCTACATTTGGACTTCTGTCTATGCAAGACTCTGTGCCAGGAACCAAGAAACCCGTGTTTAGATTCTGATTACAGCCCTCTGTTGATAACTTTGGGCGGGCCATTCACCTTTCTGAGCCTCATTTTCCCAATCTGCCATGCCTCCTCTGCAGAAGCACTCAATCAAAATGAAAGTTACATGTTTAAAAATACTACATAACTGAAACAATTATTGGAATTTAAAACAAAACAAGAACAAAAACAGTCTGTACCCAATGCTCTGTTTTCTGTGACCCCTGCCCTCCTGTAATTCCCAAGTTCTGGGTCTGGAAATCCTTACTGGACATTGCCCTCCTTAGGACGGCTTTAGGGCCAAAGAGCTAGGGGACCCACCCACACCAGGGGGCCTGGCCAAAACCACGCTGGATTTGCCAGATGTGCAGCCCCACTGAGTTAAGCTGCATGGAAAAAAAAAAATGCCACTGCCTGGTTATGTAAAGTCCATCTGCATCCAAAGCAGAAAGTCAAAGGGGGAAGGGCCCTCAGACCATCTGGTATAGCCTGCTCCACCCACTGCCAGGAAAACTGGGGCCCAGAGATGGGGAGCAACTTACCCAAGGCCACTCAGCAAGTGTGTGGCCAAGTCCTCTTTGCCTGTCCCCACTCCAGAGCACCACAACACCACTCCTGGACCCTATGCTGGCTTCCTGTTAGACCCTCCTAGTCAGGATGCTGAATCTAGTACTTTGGGGCTGGTTGGGCTCCTCGCCATACCGTGCACAACACAAATAAACTCAATTCAAACATTTACTGGGTCCCTAATACACGCCACGTGCTGGGATGCCAAGATTAGGGCAGTCTTGCTACTAAACGCATCTCATGCCATAGGACTGGACGGACACTGCCCACCTTGGAAAACTAGACACTGAAGAAGAGAAAGCAAACAGACCCTAATGAATGAATGGCTGAAACTTCTGATCCCAAAAGCGGCCTTGAAGCCCGGCAATTAGAGACCTGAGGAAGGAAGTCCCATGTGTTGCTTTCTGAGGGGCCAGGGTGGGGGTGGACAGCTGCTCCCTCCCACCCACACTGGAGGCCCCACTGGCTTCTAAATTTAGGACCAACTAGGGGTGAAGTCCTGACCTGACAACTGGGCTGGCCACTGTGGGACAGGATCTGGCCAAAGCTAGGTCAGCTGCCCCAGGCTGGCCCCTTACTTTGAAGCCCTCCTGCGGCAGGAGCTGCCTGCCCAGGCTGCAGCCAACGAGGGGAAGAAGTGCAATTGTTGGCAACAGATAAAACCCTTGATACCATCTCTATTTCCCTTCTAATATCAGAGTGGCCGCCTGCAAGATGAGCGAGGGGCAAGGCCAGCAATCAATAGCTAATATTCCTGTTGTGAGTCGCCCTGCTCCGGAAATGGGCAGCCACTGCCTCCTTCCAGAGAGATACCCTTTCCCCTCGGCAGTGACCCAGACAAGTGGTTCAGCATCACAGCCAGGAAGGACAAGGCTGAGTACCTGGCCTGCCTGATGCCCCTTTGTCTGACTGATGAGAAAATGACGAGGGGGGGTGGGACAAAAGAGTCACCCAAAGTCATCCAGGAAGCAGAGGCCAGGGCACGCAGCTTGACCTCAAGTCAAGAATGTCCAAAAGTTACCTCTTTGATGGTGGCTGGTGGTGGCTAAATAAGGATAAGAATCAGTCTGGGCTTTCTGACCACACATCCCCAAACGTCACAGGGGAGGGCCCAAGAAGTATGTTTGGAATTAGGCTTCAACCATGGATGATTATATCAAAGCAGGAAGTTGGGAGCTGCCCACATATCAGGCAGACCTGTGCCTTGTCCTACACTCTGGCCAAAATAGAAATCAATGGGCTATTTAAAAAAAATACACCTGGCTATTGTCCACCTCTTCCCACCATAATGGCCTGCACTGGACTCCCAGATGCTAGCAAGCAGCCTCAGTAAGGGTGCACACAGGTGGAACATGGTACCTGGATGGGCTCTGACCACCAGGCAGGGAAGCCACACTGCACTGTATCAAGGGCACCTATGGCATCACAGGTGAGGACATGTGAGCCTGGGAAAGATTCTCAGTTAGACAGAACATCAGTGGGAAAGGCTACCAGATGCATGCAAAACACCTGTCTGCAGCAGCCAGGAGGATGGCTGCTCTTGTTGAGGATGATCCTCTGAGACAGTATCCCCTTGGCTTTCCCCCTTCAGGAGGGGCAGCAGCCCACCTGGCACCTGTCTTTCTTGGGTTTCACTCTCTCAGCCCCCCTTCCACATGTCTGCAGCCTTACATCAAGCTGAGACCATGACAGTGCCTGGTCTGGTCTGACCTGGAGCCTCGCACATCTACTGCTAAGGCTGTACTCATCTCTACTGCTTGGACAAAGCCCCAGTTTTCGCAGCATGCTGGGAATACATACAGATTCACATGTGGCCATCCCTGACTCCTTCTCTCCCCTCCCACTGCCATCTTAGTGGGCCACCTGCTGCTTCTGTTTTAGGGAAATCGAAATTTCCCTAATGCCCTTCTTGGCTGGTCAGCAGCATGTCCTAGCCCTCCTCTCCTGGGAGTTAACACAACGAAAACGTGAAATACTGCAAAACAGAGCATCTTCTGGTCATCTCCCACTCAGGGAATCACCCCCTTAATGTCTCTAAGTGGTGTCTGTCACATCCTTGCTCAGATGCTTCCAGCGCCAAGGCCCCTACCTCCCAAGGCAGCCTTGTCTTGCTGCTGGACGTGCTTATACAAGCAAGAGTCTCCTTGGACTTTGCCTCATTGGTTCTGGTTCTGAATTCTTAGGCTTCCTAAAAGAAATCTTCCTCTTCTACACAACAGCTCTTCCCATATTCTTATCTGGGCGTGCCAACACTTTAAAAGGTCTAAGGAACTCAGGTGGATCCTTAAACTCAGCTGCACACAGGCCTGAAAGGATGAGAGATGCTATAATCAAGAGCGTCATCACTAAAGTTCCTTATAGCCCCGCACAATGATCCTCCCTATGACAGTATTTCTCAGTCTCCCCTGGCTCAAGTTGAATGAGCCTCCAGGAGAGGAAGGTAGAGGTGGAGGAAGAGGTGCAGAGGGGGTGGTAGCCACGCCCAATCCCAACAAAACACCAAGCCTGATTTCACAAGCACCGAGAAAAAGGCCAACAAAGTGTCTTTTGGAGAAGGCTGGTCTCGCGACCCATGTGGGATCTGTTCCTGCCTGTGGCGGGCAGGGTGCGGGCACAGAAGCTTGTGGGATGCCGTCTGTGATCACACTTGGAAAAATCAAGTGGTTAACCAGAAGGAAAGGATTCCCAGACCTGCCAGGATGGTGGGTTTTTTGTTTTTTTTAGATTATGCCTAGGGTTTGTGTTGGACAGGCAAAGTAAACAATGACAATGACAGCAGCAACAAAACAGAAACAAAGAACAGCTTATTTTTTAAAAAAGGCTTTTGCGAAAAGAAAGCTCCCCACTGGCTTGGAAGCACCCCTGAGCAGGGGCAGGGTGCGTCACGCCTGCAAAGCTGGTGGGAAGAAGGGCAGCCCTGCAGAGGTGCAGAGCAGCACAGGAGGCGCCTGCCTCCCCTCTCTCCTCTCCCTTCTTAGCTTCCAGGAGGGGTGGAGAAAGAGATGGGCAGGGCAGGACTTGAACCAGCATAAAGCAACTGTATTTAGACCATGGCAAACTGAGCTACTCACTTTTCTTCCCCTCCCTCCTGCCTGCCAGGGCCCCAGCCTAGAGTGCAAGGAGGAGCCCGAGACCCAGGGCTCAGCACGTACCTGAAAGAAACCTGGTGGGATGGGGCCTCCGGGCATCCCATCATTGGGGGGAATGTTGCCAAGCACAGGGCTCGGGGCAGCTGCTGCACTCTGTGGAGACAGGAAGGTAGAGGGTCAGTGGCCAAGACACAAATAGAGACACAACGTCCCATGCCCTGCCCACATCCCCCACACACCCTCCTCAAAGGCCACCCACCCTAGCTAAGCATCATCTTGGCACCAACATGGCATGGGCATAGGTTTAAAATCCAGATGTGTCACTCACTGGGCAACCGATAAACTCTCAGCCTCCATTTCTCATCTTTAAAATGGGAAAACAATGCCCATGATTTAGGGAGGCTGTGAGAATGGCCTAGGACAAAGTGCCAGAGGTACTTCCTGCAGTGCAGAGCAGGAGCTGGTGGCCAGCATGCAGTACCTATTACTGACATTATGATACCCAGGCCTTACTGACCTGGCTTCTCTAAGAAGCTCTTTGAGGACAGGGAAGGTGATTCATAAATGCCTGTGGCCTCTCCAAGTGGCTGCCAGGTCGTATAGAGCCGAAGATCAACAAATATCCACAAAGCAATGAACAAATGGATGGACCATCTGGGAAACATCCCCGGAGACAGTGAAGGAGGGCGGGGTACGTTCTTGGGTGCCTCATGAGAAGGGAGGGCCCCATGAAGGGGGACTGTCATTTCCTTTCTCTTTCAATGCTGGTGTTTTGGCATTTACCTGGTACATTTGCCTCCACAAATGCCTCCCAGGGGTGAGCAGATGTTGCCCACCCCAGCATGGCCTCCTTCCAAACAATCATGTCCGACCTGTCCATGTGGTCGGCGTGTCTGTGCCTGGTCCATCTGTGCCTGGCCCGGTGCTCACACAGGCAGGGGTGAAGCTGGGAAGCCCATGCACCGGCTCTGAGGAAGTCACAGGCCTGAAGATCCTACCTGGGACCGTTCCCTGCCCCTCCCCACCAATTCTAAAGCTCTAGGTGCTCCTCCTGCAGAAAGCCCACTTCCAACCTCAGTGGTCCCCAAACCTCACCATGACCAAGAATGTGAAACTTAATCATTAGTCTATCTCCCAAGGTTCTGGCTGGTTCTCTGAGACAGGAGTGAGCCCCTTGGGGTCAGGAGACATTGCCTCTTTTTCTCTTATAAACAGCCTCCCATCACCACCTTGGAAATGTAACGTCTCCTTCCCTTTCTTCAGTCATAAAATAGGAATCAGCACCCCTAACTTCCAACTTAGATGAAAGAAAATGAAGCAATGTGGGAATACCACTGCATGAAACAAAATGAAGAAATACACCTGGCTTCAAGAGCTGTCACCTGTCCTGGTGAGTGGGATGGCTGCAGGCGAGTTGCATGGCCTTTCTGAATTTATTTCCTATAAAAACTGGGATAGCTGCTGTCCCACCTTCTCATCAGGATTGTAGAGGATTAAGTGAGGAGATGGGCTATGTTTTGTGAGCTGGAAAAGCTCTGTGAATCTGGAAACAAAGACGGCCCACTATGGGGCATGTGGTGGGTTTTGACAGACCTCGGGTGGAGAGCATGGGCTAGCTGTACGCTACTTTCAAAACGATTCTGCCTACAGAACCACCACCCTCTTGGTAATTAAAGAGATTCTGCCAACCATCCTATAATGTGTTTACAGGTTTCAAGCATTCTCAAACATTATGGGTCTAGGTCTTCCCGCCCCCGCCACGTCTGAGCCACAGGCCCACTCAGGAGGAGAAGACCCCGTGGCCCCCCGACTCCAGCGTTATCTGGGATGGGGGCCACATGGGGGACCCCGCCAGGTTCTCCATTAGCTGCATTATCGTTGGCTGCATTACTGTTTCTTTGAGGTTAGTGGTTCTGTGAAAATGCAACTTTTTGTGATTAATTGCCAACAGTTACTCCTCAACAGAAGCAAAAAACTTTTTTAAAAAAATGGGATGAGGTAAACATCCACTTATATTTTCTTCAACTTCTTTCTGAGACTGGTGTTACATGTAACTCTTTAACTCTTCACAGACAGCTCATTATTTAACCAAATAATAACAGGCACTAAGTCAGTGTTTGCTAATTTGGTAGTTCTTATCTCTTTGGTATTTGGTATTTTCACTTACCTTTTAGAACACTATCTTTTGAAATGGTTTACACTGGTAATTTGTAGATTAACATTTGTAGATGTTAAAATATTCATGTCCTTTGTTATTTGGGTATTTGAGTTTTTATATACTGAGAATATAGCATAAGAGTATATTATAACTTTTTTCAAAAAACACTTTTAAATGAAAACTTGAACCTGTGAGTGCTCTGCCGCATTACTCACGAGGCTCCTTTTCTCGAACATGTCATTTTCCTAAGAAATCAGAAGTGAGTCGATGGTTCTAAGACCTGGGGGTGGGCGGTGGTCCATGGTTCTTTGACTGTAATGGTCACAGTAACCAAGGTTCTGGTTAACGATGATGATATTCTCTGAACTCTGGGGGGGGGTGGGGAGTTTTGCTATCCTACAGTGGAGGAGGACAGCAGAAGCAGGCCATGTTAGCGCCTAAGGGGTTAGGAAGCTGAGGAGACTTTTATCATCTATTTAACAAAATTATGTAGCTCCACACTGCTTAAATCTCTGTTCTGAATTATCAGTTATTGCCGTTACCCTCTGATTATGAAGCAAATGCACTCACAACAGAAAACTTTTTAAAAGGGCAGAAAAATATGCAGAACAAAATGAAAACAGCAACAAGTGTCACAGCGCAACAAAGGGTTAAGAGGTTAGGCAGGGCTCAGAAATAGCTGTTGCTCATAAAACCCAATCCAAGGAAGTCCCTTGGATTCCACACCTATTAACACGACACTCGATCCCCAGCCCCACCCTCCTGCACCTCAACAGCAGGGGTGCCCAGCACAAAGTGAGGCATACAGCAGGTGTTTAATAAATGATTACTACTTGTATTATTCAAAAACCTGCTCAAACGTGACCATCTGGAGTCAGGCCTTTCTGGATTGCTAGGAGTCAGCCTCTCCCTGTGGTTTCCAACTTGGAGCTAGAGAGCTCCATTAAGGCACTCAAGCAAAGCATCTCGTGTGAGTTTTCTCTAAAAACACAAAACCCAAACCGAAACCCTCTGACATTCACCAAGGCCTGCAGTATGCCAGGGTTGCGGTAGGTGCACGGGATAGAACTTTCCCACAAGGGTAAGAGGGGAAAGAGCACTAGATTCAGAAACCAGAAACCTGACACAGGGGCTCAGGTCCTAGCTGGCAGTCCACAGACAAGTCCCTTTTCGTTCTTAGACTCAGTTTCCCCATGTGTTCAAGGATGGGGTTAGAAGAGATAACCACTAAGGCCCTTCTTCCAACCTGCTCTCCCCAGCCCAGTCCACTTACCCAGGGAAGCAGGAACTAGAAGTAATAACTCCTGCATGAACAGGAAAGCAATCCTCTTTCCAGAGGACCCTGAATTTTAACTCTTCTCTGTTCATTATAGAACATTTAGAGATCAAAGATTAAAAACCACCCATACACCTATTTGTTATCTGAGCACACAGATAACCACCCAGACCTTCCTCATCAACATTTATCCACATATGCATACATACACGGACTGTTAAGAAGTAGAATCGAACTGCCATGCAGCTTGGTAACTTGCACTTAAAAACAAACCACAAAAAACCTAATTTAAAATTCTTCCCTAAACAGAAAACAGGCCTTGCACAGGGTGACGTGGCCCACTTCAGCCAGCTGCCTCCCCTAAGCCTCAGGGGTACAGTCAACTTGAAAAGCCTGAGGTGCCTTCAGAGGACTGCCTGAAGCTCCCCTGCAAAGTTGTTTTGTTCTTGGCCAGGGAGACTTCGGAGCAGGACTGATCCCACAACTTTCTCTCTAAAGAGAAGGGTTTCTTTAGGATCTCAGGGTGGGTACACAGCCACTGTGCTCAGGGCTTCCACAGCCACTGTGCTCAGGGTCACATACCACTGTGACCACAGGCACCCCTTCTTGTCCAGATCTGCTTGGCTTTCAACAGTGAGGGGACACGTGAATACATCAGCACCAGCCTCACCCCAGGACAAGGACATTCTCCCCCTACCCTCCCCAGGTGGAGAAGCAGGATTCCAACCTGGGGCCCCAGGGTCTGAGTGACTGGGAGGAGCCTTGGAAGACAGGCTAAGGAATTCAGACTTTCTGTTCTGGGAAGTGGGGAGGATTTCTAAGCAGAAGAGTGACCCATGACCTCTGAGAATCCCACTTTGCCCCACCTCACCCTGTGCCCACATACTACTGCACCGTTGACAAACCTACCCCAACACCCCCAGAGTACCCAAGTGCCCACACTCCTGGAAGCCTCTCATCCCACCCAGAAAGAGGAGTGGCTCATAGCAGGCTACAGCATTCATGCTTCCTTCAAGAAGCAAGGGTCCAGGGACACTCCCTGCAAGATGTTATCTTCTGGCCTCACCCCAAGAACTCCAGTTATCCTCACTCACAAACTAGCATGAGATCCCCCACCCATTTTTTCTCTCTTTTAAAAATAGTTCTGTGCACACGAAGCTCCTGGAAAACCGAGTAAAAACAAATGCTCAATGCTCAGAGGGAACTGTGGGACTACTGCCAGGCCGGCCAACCCCTCCTGACTGATTTACAAGACTGCAAAATGGTACTTTGCTCTCAAATCCTCTCCCTCCCTTCTTGCCCTGCCCCAATCCTCTAGCCTTGGCGTATAGCAGTGCGGGCCACATGAGAAACCACCAAGTGCATGCAGCCTTCCTTAACTGAAACTCAACATAAGCCAAGTGGCTGAGGGCACAAGGTGCCAGGGGGGTGGGGATGTATGCTGGGAGTGTGCTTGTGGCTGGAAATGGAGATCACCTTGGGAAGCTCGGGCCACTTCTGCAACGACTACAGGAAGAGGGCAAGCAAGAAACAAAGGCCTTTGAGCGATGCGTGTCTGATGTCCCAGAGAGGGGTGCAAGCTTCCAGGTGGAAGCTTGCACTGGTGTCTGCAAGAAGCTTCAGGATTTGCTGCAAAATATTAGAGTGACCTGGGTCCCTCTAGAGCCAAGTTTCCTGGAGGGAATTTTAGCAGCATCTACAAACTGAAGATGTAGATGT